CACCCACTGCCGCCCCGGGGGGGGGGGGGGGACAGGACAGAGCTGGAAAGTGCCCCTCCACCTCTGGCGCCCTCACCCCACTGCCCCCATCGGGTGGGCCGGCCCTGCTCTGACCTGACTTCCGCCTGCGGCAGTGGCTGCTGCTGCTGCTGGGACAACCATGGAATCCGAGACGATGTTCTGAGTGACGTAGAGGAAGTCGCTGGGACACGGCTCGTCGTCCACCCCGTTGAGGCAGGGAATGGGCACTTGCTCAAAGCCCCGGGAAATGTCCCTGGCAGGGCAGGGAGAGTGCCGTCAGGGCCGGGCCGGCCCCCCGTCGAGGAGGCCTCCCCCGCCCCGGCCGCCGGGCCCCTCACCTGCTGAGGACTCTCTCCACCTGGCCCCGGGGGAGAGCGAAGGCGGCCTGCAGGGCGCTCCAGGAGGGGGAGCCCGGCCTGGCATACTGCAGGGGCGTCTGGCCCGCTTTGTTCTTCAGGCAGACCTTGGCCCCGTGGGCCAGGAGCAGCCTGCAAGAGACAGGGGCAGAGTCGGGCTGGGCGGGAGGCAGGTCCGGGGCTCTGGGCACCCTGGGTGACACCCGTCCAGCTGGGCGGCCGTTCTAGTCTGCCTGCAGCCGGGTGGGACGGAGCAAGAGGCCAGGCCCGTCCACGTCTTCAAGGCGCTCCTGGCCTCTCCCTGTTTTCTACCACTCCACACGAGGACCGGGAAACCCCAGCCCGGCAGTGGTCTCTCTGACCCCATGCCCGGGGCGTGGACCACTCTAGCCAAGCGCTTGCACCGGGGCCAGCCTCCTTCCTCCGCCTTGGTTGCCCACAGGGTGGGGGTGGGGGGGGGTCTTGGCTTTTTGTGCTGCCGCAAGGCTCGGGAAGGGGAAGCACTCTCCAAGAGCAGGCCCTTGAGGCTCCTGCTGCATCCGGCTTCCAAAGGACACAGGCTCAGTGGCCCCCAGCGCCATATTGCCCCCGTCCCCCGAGGCCCACCCGGCAGGACAGCGGGTGCTGCACTCACACGAGGCATTCGTAGCGCCTCTCCCGGGCGGCCATGTGCAGAGGCGAGTCTCCCTGGCCGTTGGGCACGTCGGGGTCCGAGCCAGCCTCCAGCAGCATCCGGGCGATGGGGGCACAGCCCACAAAGGCCGCCCAGTGCAGGCAGAGGTTCCCTTCCTGGTGGACAGGGGGGGGTGAGGGGGGGGAGAGCGGGCAGGCGGGGGGGCCAGTGAGGGGGAGGACGGCCCCCAGAAGGGCTTCACCGCCGCCTAGTCGGCCCACCCAGCCAGGCCTCTCGGGGGAGTGGGGAGCCGAGAGGCCGTCCGTGAAGTGGAGGTTCTCTTTCCACCGAGGCACAAGATGGTTGTGCTGCCACCTCCGAGAACTGAAGAGCCCCGATGCCGGTGGGGGGGGGGGGACAGCCCGGGTGTGGCCCTTCCTGGACCACCGGTTTCTGCCTCCCCCGCTGGTCACTCCGCTCCCTCCTGGCCGTGCCGCCGCCTCTCAGCCGCACCCTGTCGGAGGGTGGAAGAGCCACCGGCCACGCCCTCACCTTGTCCCGGACGGCTAGGTCTGCCCCGTGGGCCAGCAGCAGTTCCGCCAGGCTCTCCTGCCTGTATTCCGTGGCCCAGAAAAGGGGGCTCCTGCCCCAGGCGTCCTGGAAGGCAGAGAGGGGAGCCCAGCCGTCTGCCACCTGAGACAGCCAGCTGATGTGGGAGGGGGGGTTGGGTTGCCCTGCCCTCCGCTGGGACCATCCTCCCCCCCCCATTCACCAGAAAGGGGGGGGCATGGAGACCAGCATCCCAGAGCAGGCCGAAGGGTCATCTGGCTCTGGAGAAAGCCCCGCGGGGAATATGGCCCCCGTTGCGGCACCACACCTGGCTGTCGATGGCCTCCGTCCCCAGGGAGAGAATGCGGCAGGCTGCGTCATAGTGGCCCTTCCTGGCCACCGCGTGCAGCGGGTTGGCCTCATCCTGCAGGCAACAGACCCCAGCTGAGTCCTTCCGTCCTGCCTCCCCCAGCCAGCCAGCCAGCCACAGAGAACCTACTCCCCGGGGGCCCTGGCTCTCCGCCGCGGAGACCGGAAGGCAAGACTGGCCCCGGAGTGACCACTGCTGCTCAGAACAAGCATGAGGGGAGGGGATGGCGGAGCAGGGCCAAGAGTCCCTCTCCCAAGGGGGGGGGGTCATTTGCCCAACCCGCCTCCCCAACTCCCCCCCCCCCCCCCCGCCCCAAGAGCCCAGGGCTGGTCCTTACCTGGCTCTCAAGAGGGGCACTTTTGCTTGCTGCTCGAGGACAACAGACACAACGACACGCCGTTCAGATGAGGAGGTGGACCCCCCCCCAGACCCTCCTCCCAAGGACACAGAGGGCCAAGTGGAGGGAGACGCGGCTGGGCCACAGCTGGAGCAGAGCACCCACTCTCCATTGCAGGACGGACCCCGGCCCGGTGCCGTTACCCCCCTGCCCCCCTTGAAGGAGCAAGAGGGAAAAACCCCTCCCCGGGGCCCAAGCAGGGCTGGCCAGGCCAGGCCGGGGGGGGGGGGGGGTCACGCAGGGCAGGCGTGTTGCCAACGGAGGACGGGGGCAGAGGTGGGCCCCCCTCCCCTCCAGCCCACTCACCACTCAGGCCCATGCTGCTGCTGCTGCTGCCGCCTCTGCCCCCATTGAGTGCCAGCGGCCGTTACGGAATTCAGACAACACACGGAGCGCCAAGGCAGCCGCGGCTCCATGGAACCGGCCGGGGTTCTGGTTCTGAGTCCAGGCTGGGGGTGTTCCAGAACTCCCTCCCACTCCGCCAGGGAGGGGCTGGCCCACCCCCGTGGCTTCTGGCAGCCCTCCTTCCAGGGACCACACCCCTGACTCGGGAGACCGGACCCCAGAGGGGCTCAGGCCCGGCAGGCAGGCAGGCAGGCGCGGCCCTTCTGGGGCTCTCTGGCAGACCACGCCCCCCCCGCCTCCGCCACGACTGAGGGGGCCCAGGGGTTGTGCTTCAGCCTCCAGGTGGGCTCTTGAGGGCCGTGTGTCCGGCGGTCCTCGGCTGGACAGGTGCTTTCCGGCGGGGCGGGGGGGGAGCGAGGGCTGGTGGACCGGCCCCTTGCCAAGGAGCCGCGTGCCTTGGGTGGAGGCCTGGCTGGTGCCCTCTGTGGCGGGCAGTGTTGAACCCGGTGGGGCCAGGGAGTGACCCCCGGAGCCTGTCTGCAGGACAGAGTGTTTCTGACGGCCTGGGAAGAGGCGGCTGGGAGACCCCCGCCTGGAGAAGGCGTCCCTGCTGCAGGAGGAAGGCTGCCTCCCGCACACTCCTCCCTCCCTCCCTCCCTCTAGGGGCCGGCCGGAACGTTTCCTCCAGCACTTTCAACTGGGCAGGGGTGGGTCTCCGTCTTGTGAAATTGTCTCCTTCCCACCGACAAAGAGCACCTCGTAGGCCGCGTGTGCGCCCTCGGCTGGGGTATCCCACGGCCTGTCTTGGGGGTGGAGAGGGCCGCCAAGTCAGAGCTAACTGGGGGTGACCCCTAAGGGAGGGAAGAGACGAGCCCCGGCAGTGGTTGGCCCTTCCCTGCCTCTGCGTAGCAACCCTGGACTTCCTTGGGGGGGGGGGTCTCCCATCGAAGGACTGGCCAGGACCGGCCCTGCTTGGCTTCCCAGATCTGAGGACACCGTCGGGCTGGTCGGGGTGGTCCCATTCACAAAGATCATATTGTGGTTGCTTGCATGTCCTGGCCAGAGTTCCCCCTCAGCTGAGTGAGTGCGAGGTTGCTCACAGTTTTCTAGCCTCCGGGCTCACACGCTTTTGTCCTTGCTCAGGGAGGAGGGGCTCCAGAGCAGACTAATTTATGCAGCAGCCGAACTGCTCATAGCTCACAACTTTTAATGCCAGTCGCAGCTCACAAAGTAGGATTTCTGCTCACAGGACTCTCCACAGCTGAGAGGGAGCCTTGGCCCTGGCTGGGTCGCCTGGGGAGCGGGGTCTCCCCTGCCCTCGGTCCAGCCCTTCCCTCCCTGCGCCTGGCGGGGGGTGTGTGGTGTGAGCTGGGGGGGGGGCCCGATTCCAGGCTTGCTGCACACAAAGGCAAACGGAGAGACACACCCAGCAGCTGTTTGAACAGCAGACTTTATTCCATCATCATCCAAGTACCTTTCAAAAGATAATTGTACAAGTCGGCATGTGAAAAAAAAGCCATCAGGAGCCGTCAGCCGTCAGCCCAACCGCTGGTCACTGACCCTTTGCTTAGAAAATATACATATTTACAGTTGAACCCTTCCAAAAAAATTAAGGGAAAAATGAGAAACCCGTGACTGCTGGGGGGGATCCGTCCAACATGGGACGCAAGCGGACCCCCAGGAGCAGCCTGGCTGCGCGGGAGCTCTCCCTGCCCCCCCTCCCCCGAGGAGGAGCTCTGTGTTCAAGGCACTCGGTGGTGGCGTCAGGAGGGGACGGACAGCCCCAGACAGACAGAGATGCTCTCGGCAAGGCAGGGACCAGCTCCAGGCACAGACAGACACAGTTCCGCCACAAGGTGCCCTGGGGGAGGGGGGGGGAAAAGGGAAGTGTGCCATGGGGTGGGGAGGGCAGCACAGCACATCCTGCCCAGAGCCTTTGGCCCACGAGCACCGGCAGGAGGGACCCTGCACCCCTCCACTCCCCCCCCCCCGCCCTGCCCCCT